CAGTGATCAGTTGCCTACAGAGGTAGAGAGCAATGAGGCAGAGGAACAGCTGGAGCCTGTTCCCAGTGTGCACATGCGCAGAGCTGCCAGAAGAAAATAAGAGCTCAGGAATCCGGGGAGTAAAGCCACAGGTGGACGGTGAATGGCCCCTCCTATAGGGACTAAAAATGTAGCGAAAGGGGAGTGGGCTTTTGCAGGAAACAATTAACGTACGTTCGTTCACTCGTTAGTTTGTTTCAGGAGTGTGAAGATCTGTCCGTGAATCTCAGAGACTCTGTGCCAATTCTTTCCTTGCACAGCACCTCGTTTGGAAAATATCGACATGGCAGATAAGGTCTGTGGTCATAAATACTCCTTTGAAAGACTGTTTCCCAGGCCTTGGCTGAATGGGAATGAGAGGAATTCACATTCGTTTCTTAAAAGGGTTTTGTTTTTTTTGTCAGGGCCAGGAATCCACTCTGTGCTTTTTCGGGGGGAAGCCGAGGTCACAACAATGGGTCAGGTCCAGCATTTGTCCCCGATCCGGAGAGTTCAGCCAGCAAAGATCTGCAGCCTGGGAGACAGCCAATGGACTTGAGTGCAAAAAGCAGGATACTCGAGCTGCACGTTAAACTTCTGCCGTGCGTGAAAAGGGGAGTCACGGGGTTGCAAAATTGAACTCGGTAAAGACATTCCGTAAGAAAGACTGGTCTTTCCCCCCCCCCTCTTCCTTTTTCCCGTTTTCGGTTCTTTGCAGAGGGAGGGAGGGGAGGGCTAATCCCCACCACCAGCAAATATCCCACAGAGATTTTTTTTTTCACCCAACGCCTCGGAGCAGGTTTGTAGGTTTAAAAAAAAAGGAACTAAACCAGACCCGGGCTGGTTTTGTTGAGTATCACTTCTTCGTGGGACAGGAGAAGCCCGCGTCTTCGCCGGGTTCGAACGATAAGGGAGGTGTTCACATCCCGCGTCTCTGGATTCAGATGCTGTGCTGCATTGCAGGGAAAGAATAACGATAATAATGAAATAAAGATGGGAAAATCCAGAAGAAGGGAAAGGAAGGGAGGGGAGAGAGAGAGAGAGAGGCAGAGAAATTGAGAAAGTTTGACATCGTAAATTATTCATCCAACGTGCCTAATGGACACATTATTTAATGGTTCGTGTTCCCATTAAACAAACCGTCCGTTGCATTAGCAGGTTGGCGCCCTTTTGGATTCAAAAGCATTAAGTTCCCATTGGCAGATGTCACCTCCCCAACGCTAAACGCTGAATTATGCATCACGATCATCTAAAAGAATCAATAGCCAGGAAATGACTCGAGGTTGGCTAATGGCGGAGCCTCTTCTTGGAAGGTTTGGATGTTTTCATTAAAATCCCTCCGCCCCGAACATGGGAATGCACCACCAAGCTCTCCTTATGTTCTGACCTAGGCTTCCTGGGGACAGTAAAAAAATCACACGCTTAGTCCCCCCAAAAAACCCTCTTTTTATTTCAACGGCTGTGAATTACGTTCATTCACAGCCCGTAATGAGTCACAAACAGTTTGTTGAAGAGTCCGACAGAAGTCTGCCAAAGTCTTTCAGGATAAGGCTGATAAGCACCCGCCTTTATCTCCCTTGAAACGCTGCCAGAGACCTAATTGGCAATTAGCTTTGCAAGGCCACACAGAGCACAGAGTCAAAACGGAGCTTCAGAGTTTAAACCGACCACAATGAACCAAGTTGCTTCCTGCAAAAACTCACGTGCCTTTGCTCCTCCTTTATGTCGTATGGGAGGGGCCAATCGTCTCCAAGTCTTACTCCCGAGTCGCGCTTTGGTCTTAACTGTTCTCTGCCTCCAACGCAGAGCCCTCATCCGAGCCTTCCCCAGAGTCCAGGACTGGCCCATGTTCCTCCCCAACCCTCCTCACTGTCCGATTCTGCTGCCAGCTCTGCAGGCTGCCGGCGGGCCACAACACCTTATGCCATTTTTTGGAGGTACCACAGGATGAACGGGGTCTGTCAGAGATGACCCAGCACACGACCATGGCAGCCATTAACCCTGGAGAAACTGACAGGCAGCCCTCATCTTAAGACCGCAATTGAAGCTCCAGATTTTCCCTCGCTCAGTAGCGAGACAGCTGGGGAGTGAGTTTTCCTCCATTTTACGACCTTCGCTTTGCCACATCTGTCAAGGGAACCACCGCGGTGGTTAAGGGTGTGACATGGTTGTTAAGTGAATCTGGCTCCCCCAGGGATTTTGCTGATCTGTAGGTCCCAAAAGCAAGCTGGAACCAAAGAGATATTTCCTGATCGTGG